GTTGTGTACCCCAGAGCACCCTGGCAGCACCAGCCCAGCACCCTGCACCCCAGGACCCCCCGACATCATCAGCTCGGTGCCTTGCACTCCAAACTCCCCAGGCAGCACCCCTCTAGCACCCTGCAACCCCAGGTCCCCTGGTAGCGCCAGCCTGGCCTCCTGCACCCCAGGGCCCCCCGGCACCAGCTCCACCCCGCAGGAAGCCCCCTTCCACGGGTGGCGAGCGGCACCCGCCGACCTCTCCTGCAGCCCCGTGGCTGCCGAGCCCCTGGCTGGAGATGGGGGTGCTGGTTCCCTACCTTGCCAAGGCACCCCTGAGGGAGCCGAGTCCCCTGCCCCCCCACAGCAGGGCCCCCCGGAACTCCCTCCCACCGAGGCGGGTAGGTTGGAGCCTGCCGGGTCAGAGGCAACGGCCACCCCCATCCCCTCGCCTGAGGTGGCCCAGGGTGCCGTCTCCTGGGTGTTGCCACTGGTGTGGCTGGAGAAGAGCCTCAACGCCTCGTCCCTGCTGGATTCCCTGCGGCACAGCCTGCCCCTGCCGCGGCAGGACATCGGCACCAGCGTCACCCCCGTGCCCACCGTGGCCGCCGGCACCAGCGTCACCCCCGTGCCCACCGCGGCTGCCGGCACCTTCATGACCCCTCGGGACCTGCGGGATAAGAGCATGAACACATCTGCCGGCGGCCTCCCTTGTGCCAAGGACAGCGCTGCCGAAACAGACTCCCTGCTCTGGCAGTAAGTGTGGGGATGTGCCCACCCAGACGGGGCTGTCACCTTTGGTCTGTCCCTGCCTGAAGCCCTCTCTCTGTCCCCAGCTGTCCCCGGGAGCAGCTGAAGTCCCTGCCACGGGCAGAGCTGGAGGGGCGGCTGGAGAGCACCCTCATCATCATCGAAGCCCTCTCGCTCCAGCTGCGTGACTGGCAGGAGAGCCAGCGGCCGCTGCCCGGCGTGGGGCCGGCCGAGCAGAGGGACGCACTCACCCAGACTGACATCACCCACCCCAAAGGGGTAAGAGTCCTCGCAGGGGCGATGCCACCCTTGTTCCCTGTGGCCTCGGTGCCGTGACAGTGCCCACGTGCCGCCGGCGGGATGGTGGCCCCGGCTGGACCGCAAGCCGGTGGAGCGGAAATAAAGCGGGGCTGCTGCGGCATGGCACGGCATCACGCGCCTGGCTCAACCCGCTGAGTTTGCTGGATTTGAACCCTTTGTGCGGGGAAACATCCCTGGCACACGTGGGGGGAGGATGGGAGCTGTCATGGCTAACCGGCTCTCACTGGACCCCGGGGTGGAACAGGGCTGGTGCGAAGCCCCCTCCCCTCTGCTGGGATGCCCTTAGGAGGAAGAGATCTACCGCAAACTCTACCTTGAGCTGCGGAGGAAAACGGAGGCTCTGCAGCGGCAGCGGGGAGCGGAACAGGACCTGCAGCGGGAGCTGGAGCTGGCTGCCGCGGGCACGGTGCGTCTCGGCTGGCTGGCGTGTGATGAGTGCACCAGGTCTCAGCTGGGCAGGGCATGTGTGTGTCCGATGCTGCCTGTGCCAGCTCTGGGAGCGCTGCCTGAGCACCGGTGCCTTTATCCCTTCCCCAGAGCGCCTGGAGCAGGCAGTGCCTCCTGTTTCGGGGCCTCGTAGATGCCACCTTTCAGAGCTTGCAGGATGAGCAGGGAGCCCTTGCCCAGGAGGTGAGCACCCAATGCGGCTGGGCTGGCCCCCCCTTGCCCCTGGGTTTTGGGAGATGCTGGTGCTGCTGGCACACATGGCAGCTGTTGGCTATACCGGGTGCTGTCTCCTCTCACAGCAGGAGCAGGCGAGGGCCCTGGTGTCCCGGTGTCAGGCCATGCTGGAGAGCGTGCCCGGCAAGCTGCGGAGCTGCCTGGAGGAGCGGGATGCCATGAGGCAGCGAGCGGACGAAGCCCTCCGAGCCAAGGAGGAGGTAGGGGGGGCAGCCGGTGGGGGGGTCGGGGCAGGGTCTGCTGTCCCCATGCCTTTGATGGGGTGTCCTGCATCTTTGCCCATCTCTGGGGGGTGAAGGTCTTCCTGGCATCCCAGGGGAAAGCCCAATGTGGCCCTGGAAGGCGAGAAGTGCTTGGAGGTGCCCGGAGCGGCTGGAGCTCTCTGGATGGGTTTTTGGCTTGGGCTGTGTCCCGCTTGGAGCAGGAGCCCTGGGCGGCAGCAGCATGCGGGGACGGTTCCTGGAAATTGCCCCTGTGCGACACCGTGCCCGGAGCAGCATCTTTCCCTCGGCAGGGAGATCGCTTCCTGGAGACCTTCCGCGCCCATGCCAGTGCCCAGATCGGTGCCCGCGACCAGAGCCTGGCGTCCCAGCGAGAGCTGGGCACGCTGCTGGCGGATGCCATTGACCAGCAGGTACTGAACGGGTGGGCACCTCCAGCTGCCTCCCACCTGGGTCCCTGGGGGCTGGAAGGGCATCCCCACATCCTGAGCTTGGGTGATGCTCTGAGCAATGGTCTGTGATGGGCTTGGGTCCACCAGAGGTTTCTTGGCACTGCTGCTGGGAAGCTGCCATAGATCCGGCCTCGGGGCTGGCGCTTGCCTCCCTCCACGGCCATTGAATATGGATCTTCAACCACAGCAGTGCTGACCCATCTCTCCTACCCCCCAGGCATCCCTGGCTGCTGAGGCTCAGCCTTTCCGGGAATTCGTAGATATCACCTTTGAAAATCTAGAGGAGGAAAGGAGAGCCCTGGACGCAGAGGTGAGGGCTGTCCCGGTGGGGGCTGGCGGCGGGCCCAGCCCCTTGCCTCCCTGCCGGTGTGGTGCAAGCTGGTGCCGCTTCGCTCTGTCTCAGAGCGCTTTGTGCCCTGGGTACCGTGGGCAGCCCGGCTGCCAGACCTGTCCCTGCTCGCGCAGTGGGGCAGTGCCACCGGCCGGCACGGCTGCGCTGCCCCGGCTCCGAGGCTGGCAGTGCCATGCTAAGCTCTGCCCGATGCCATCTCTCCCCCAACGCAGCGGGAGCAGGCGAGGGCCCTGGTGTCCAGGTGCCGGGCTGTGCTGGAGAGCGTGCCTGGCAAGCTACGGAGCTGCCTGGAGGAGCGGGATGCTATGAGGCAACGAGCGGATGAAGCTCTTCAGGCCAAGGAGGAGGTGAGGGGTTGTCCGGTGCTGAGTGGTGCCCTGGGGGTGTCTGGGATGCTCCCTCGCAGCCTGGCTGATGGCAGGCATGGGGTGACTTGGGGTGCCTGTTGCTGTGGGAACACCCCATGGGGAAGAGCAGCCCAAAGCGAGCCCGGAGGACACTGTGTCTCTGCAGGTGTCCTGCCAGCTGG